TTTCTGCTGAATTTGTAAATTATTCAATCAAGTATATGCAAATAATATTAGGCCAACACGACTCCTGGGTGGTCTGGGGGTCTAATTCTAGCATGAATACAGCAAATCTTTAATTAAACTTGTCTTTTATTATCTCTAATTTGAAACTCTCTAAACCTGGTAACACTAAACACGTGCTTGGAGAATGCATAAGTCATGCAGGATAGCTGGATATCATGACTTCCTGTTGAATAACAATGAAACGTGACCAAAATAATTTGAGTTAATGTGATTAGGGAGCACTTAATAGATCATCAGCTAATAAATAATAACTTTATGTCCAATTACAAGTCACTGAATTAGCTGGAATGCACATTCACAGAAAAAAAGCATTTAATTCCTTTTTTTTATGTCACTTTTTTAAAGTCCAGCAGAACACATTGTCATAGAAATAAAACATTTCAAGCTGCCTGTCAGACAGAAACATCTACATGCTGCTGCTGGTTTGTGGCACATTAACACATCTGGAGGTGGCACAGCAGTAGTATTTTATTTTTAAATGATTTTTATTTGGTTGGTTGTTGGTAGGTTGGTTCAGCAACATCTGAGCAGCAGTGAGTGTTTTGTGCACTCGTTATAGAGCATGATTGAATTCTGGCTCATGAAAATGCAGCAATGACAATAAAGCTAACATCAGCTTTACATTTAAGGTCAGACAGGTCACACGCTACACCTGTCCTGTGAGTTCCATCAGGCTGGTAATTAATGAAACATGACTCTGCTGGCGCTGGTCCACTGTGTTGCATATGTGCAGTGTCTCTATGAGCTCGTGGATGATCGTCTTCTTCAGCATTCGTTCTAATTTTAGCGAAACGCAGGTGACGCATGACGTGTAACTCAGTAAAACGAAGCCTACCGAAGTCCTTCACTTATATGTTAACTGGGTGATTTATCATTTGTCTAATTTGTGCTCTTATTATAAACCTCATTATTCTCAAGCATCTCTTTCTTTAGAAAATAATTTTAGATCAACTCAGAAGCTGAACACCGTTTTAGTGACTGATGCAAATGTGCTTCCTGGTGTGAAAGTGTCTGCACAGGTAAAGGAAGTTAAAAGCTTAGCACAGGTAGTTGGGGATTAAACTCGCCGCACACCTCCGAGGTGTCAGCTAAAAAAAGCAAAGCAACGCTCACAGGATTAAGTGTTTGTGTTGCCAGTGGAGCTGCGTGTCCCAGCATAAACTGGGATACTGAGCTGTTCCGTCACAGAGGAAATCAAACACAGCAGCTTAGCGCCCTGACTCAGCTATCTGCTTGGTTAGCTTTTGTTTGTCCCAAATACTTGGTGGGAAACAGACAAGAGAAGATGACACAGAACCACAAGTATGTTCTGTACAGTAAAAATGTGCCTCGCTGTGTTTGCTGTGCAGAAAGGAGACGTAAGGAAAGCTGACCACGGAGGGCCGCTGACTGAAGGACACAGGAGGTCCAGTAACTCTCTGGAAAGCCTCTACAGTCACAACAGTGGACAAAGCTCCTCAAGTAAGAACCTTTGGGCACAGAACCAAGTGTGCTCTTCACACCAGCACTCAATGAATTATGCAATCTGTGCTCGCGAGCTCAACTATCCTGTTACTCCTCCTCAGATGCGCTAATTTGTTGAGCTGCACCAGCTGCTGACGAATCAAAAACCAAATCCCCATCTTAGACTGTCTTGTTACCGACACATGAAGGCCTCAGTGAGAACGAAACGCAGCATTAATTAGCTGAACTCCTGTTTGTGTGCTGCTCCCCAGGTGGAGTCACCAGTGGGTCGGACTGCTCCAGCTACAGAGACAGTCTGAGGCTGGACGAGGATCTGTCGTACACGAGGCAGCTGTGTGGCAGAGCGAGGGTCCACACCGAGTATGTGCCGAGTCCGTACGACACCGAGTCGCTCAAACTCAAGGTAAACAAGTCTGGAAAATAAATACAAACGTCCTAGTTATATTATACTGGAGCTGAACTGTGACTAGTTTTAGGATGATCATCTTTGACCAGTATCTAGAATTCTTTGGGTTTTTTTTAATAGTCAGGTTCATTGATAGTTAATTTTTGTACCTACTAGTTGACAAACACATGTAATACAACCATCATTCAGGTGGGAGATGTAATCGACATCATTGCCAAGCCCCCCATGGGGATATGGACGGGAATGCTGAATGGAAGAGTAGGAAACTTCAAGTTCATTTATGTGGATGTGCTGACAGAGGAGAGCTCCAAGGTGCACGAGGAAGTGAGACACAAATCGACTGTTCATGAAGTGCTACGGCGCCTCAGTTTGGAGGTATTTTCTTCTTATTTGTGCTCAGAATGATTTAATGCTCCTACAGCAGCTGAGCCGTGCTGTTTTCTCTCGTCCTATCAGGAGTATTCCTCGTCTCTGCAGCTGAACGGTTACCAAACGGTGGACGACCTGATGAGGCTGAGGGAGCATCACCTGATGGAGCTGAATGTGACGGATCCAGAGCACCGGCAGCGTCTGCTGGCCGCCGTCCACTCCCTGCAGCAACTGGCCTGTGAGTGATGGAAACACACAAGGTCACACAAGGACGGTGTCGTCAGACGGCACGATAAAACCACAAAAACATACACCAAGACGTTTGGATCTGGACAGGAAAAGGGACAAGTGACTCAAGTAGATAAGATGGGAGGGTATCTGGGTCGCAGCTAAAGAGGTTAAAGATAACAGGATCACCCCAAAGAGCGCGTCTGAGAATAGAGCTGGACACACCAGGACGGTAGCTGCAGACGGTTGGGCCTCGGTGCACAGGAAGAATAGCTGCAGAGGATAACTTACTGCTTATCTATTCAACTCAGCGACAGCACGTTCAGCTGACCCGTCTTCTCTTCTCCACAGCTGACAGTCAGTTGGAGGATGGAGCCGGTCGGGAGGCCGAGGCCTCCAGTGAGAGCAGGAAGGCCGATGCGAGCAACTGCCCGAGAGACTCCGGCTGCCACATGACGCCCGACAGCCCCGACAACAGCACGGAGGAGGAAGACCTTCATTCATAAGAACAAGTCGATCATTCTGATGCTTCGTTCCCTCTGTGTCTGTTGGAAACGTTTGTGAATCAGAGGCTGTTTTTGTTTTTTTAATTTCCTGCAGCAGTGTGACTTGTGATGAGGTCCAATAAAGCCCCCATGCTGAGCTTTTACCACTTCAGCTCCACTGCTGGACGGGCGTCTGTCAGCTGTAAAAGTTTGTTTCCTGAAATAAAATATTTTATGAATGAGTTTTCTTTTGAGCAGTTAAATCGTCACTGAAGCTCTCATTACAGAGACAGACATCTCTATGAAGTGTGTAGATGTTTTCCATCCTTCCACTGATAACACCAGCATCGTAACAACTAGACTGTTTTAAAATGCCCACATTTGTCTCAGGCACTAATCAACCATTTCCTTTATTATCCATGGATCAGCCTCTAGAGGCAAACACATGGTTTTTCATGGACTCTCTTTAAATATTTTAGATTAATTTAGGAACACGTCTTCTTTAAGACTATTGGAACAAAAACGTCCCAAGAACACATGTAGAAGTTCATTTTGTCATATTAACTGGACTTTTATTGACTTTAAATAGATTAAATGGGATAATACCTGACTTGCATGTTTAAACATAATGTATAATTTAAAAAAAAATTATCTTAAT